TACACAACTGCCCTATCTGACGCATGCATCAACGGCTGAGCTTCTCCTTTAATCACAAGACGGCTGGCAAAAGCAATCATCATGGGACACTAACCGTAGGCAAAAATATGCGCCCTCAAGGTCAGTTAGTTGCTTTCCATCGCTTGATCCCGTAAGCTGCTGGCCTGGGAATTATTTTGATGGTCTCACCAGGTCTTAACTTGTCTTCTTTTCCGGAGATATTCGTGGAGTGGTGTTCAATGTAAAGAACTTATTTCTTCGGTTAGAGATCCGGCACGTTATCCAGTATGTGAAGCTGCCGTAAGGCAGGAAGTGACCGTGAGTTCTGGAACTGCTAGAACTCAACTAGAGCTCAACTGAACCCAACTTAGGAAAAAGAAAATTTGGCGAGTAGAGGTCACAGCGCGCTAGACATGGAAACCTATCGAAAGAATCTGTGGTTTCTCGACCTCAACTAAATAACCGATTCGACATTCTCCAAGACAGATGTAGGTAGTGCCAAACCAGGGAACAGCGTTAAAAGGCACAATACATGAGGAGGAGTGTTTCTGAGCATAGAATTAGTGCAGTTATTCCTCAGAAACGTCAACACGTTAAAGCTAGAATTTTACCGCGATTTTGGCCTACTACAGTATGATCTATAGATGTCATTTAGATGTTCAGGATCATTGACCGCGACGCGTAGGGACTTCATTGGTATTTGGTATCCACAGGGTGTAGGAACCTTCGCTTAAGCCGTTGGCCGGTTCTGTAAGCGTTCGTTCATGGAAATACTGCTCAGACCTAATGGAAAGTTGACGAACGCCATTGCACTGCCAAGAGGTCGTTTCTCTTAGGGTTGTATTCTAAAATTAGCCAGTTTATTATTTAGAACACGGTTGTCCAAATATGCCTATCAGCCAGCTCGTAGGAATTCGACAATCAGCAGAACATCGATCGCAAGTTATGGCCAGTACTATGGGTTGGCGTGATGACAACGCAAATCGACAATTTCAAGTGTCTTTAATGATCAATGTCTAAGTAAAGGCAGAAGCTGGCTCGAGGGAATTTCACAAAAACTTCCGAAATGAGGAAAGACAGCAGCAGCACGAAAGAGACTGTCGAACAATCAGCGTTTGCATGCCACGATGACAAATTAGTCGCACTGCTAGTTGCAAAGCTCAGAGGCACGAGGAAGTGAAAACCTCTCGGAAACATTACACAAACCTGGCACCTGATCTGAGTTGACTGCAACTCCCGCTCAGTACTGATAGATTAAAGTCACATGACATCCTTCGGATGCACAGGCGGTGGTCAGCAATCATGGTTTTGGATGTGGCATGCAACGAAGGCCAAAGTGACGTTATTATGTTATTAATAAATTCAACATGAACTTGACACTACAAATATTCCATCCCAGGTTTGGAAACTCGACCTGAAACTCCCTTAAACTTACTGCTTTTATTCAATTGATGCCTAAAGTACTTCAGTGTTATTCGATGCATTTCATAGCTCTTCAATGACCATTTTCCAACACAAGATGGAATTACTAGGGTTCGGCGAGACCTTTAAATTCTGTGTCTTTTTTTCCATAGTGCTGTCACAAGCGTTCTGGATACAAGGAACAGACAGTGACTGAAGAACTATCACTGTTGACGTTTCAGCCGAACTTGTTTCGCCATCCTAATGGTAAACAATGTTTGGTTGCAATCCTTATGATAGTTAACCCAGACTGCTCATGTGGCTTAGCTGAAACCTCATCAGTAATAACAAAGACTATCACTTCTCTGTTCCTTTCGTCCAGAACCATTAAAGCGGCATTTTATTATCACCAAATGAAAGTTTTTTCGATTTCTTATGTGTTGCAGGTTATCACCATTATTGTGGTTACATACGAAGGGTAAGGCTTCTGCAATGATTTGCACTTCATGTTGTGGACTCATTAAGTGAAAACTTAATTTTCAAATATCAAAGACGGGTGTCTGTTGGTCAGTTTTGAAGGAAGCAAATACATCAAGAATATATAGCATGGATAACACATATTTCGCGCAGTCCTGCACATCTTCATCTTCCTCGACCGTTTCTCTTTACGGGAGCGGAGGCAGGCGCATCAGAGAGTACTTCCAACGTTTACGATCCTGTCCCAGAATCTGAGCTTCGACGGGAGACTACTGAGGTCTGGAACAAACCCCTTTCATATGTTTGCACCAGGTAATCGTGGCCTCTCACTTAGCCTTCCTTTCTGGAGGGGTTCGCAACACATGGCCAAACCATCGCAGCTATGACTTATCAATCTGGAGAAGCGCAGGCTGTGCACCAAGACTCTCCCGGATATCTGTGTACTCGGGTTCAAAGCTTTTCAGTCACGGTCCACGACTCATGACCGCAGGTAACCATAGGCATGAAGATCGACTTGAATACCGAGAGCTTAGTTTTCAGACTCCGTTCCGCTTTAGTCATAATGATTCGGACTACTTCGCCCAGAACGCCACTGGCTACTTCAACTTTCCATCACTAGTGAACACGACACCGAGGTAGTTGAACACAGTCTTGCCCCATGAGTTCAAATTGGACGACAAACCAAGCTAAGCGACTCGTAACATTTAAAAAAAGGGTGGAAACGCTGCGGTTACCCATCGAGGTTAAATCGAGTGCCTCTGGAAATCTGTTCAACATTTGGACTGAGGAAAGACTTGCCTGTTCCACAAAACTTTGTCTGCAATTTGCCTCGCTCAGGTCATTGCTGTTATAGGCATGAAAATGGTCATTCAAGCCAGGTGGCAAGAATGATGGTTGAACTGCATACAGCAGCGCTGG